ATGGAGGAAGATCTGAAATCATATTGACCAACTATGGTGTCAAGTTTTAATATACGAAATTGGGCAAAAACGAAAGGCTTTAAGCTAGATTGGGACCCAGCGTATTATGATATCATTAAATTCCATGATTAAAACCCGAGAGATGCTAAAATTGAACAATCATAAAGAATATATAATTGTGATTAGTCGTAATCATGGATCGTGCATGGTACATCATTTGGATTTTCAAATTTTAATAATTTTGTTCGGCGTACTCCATGTGAGTAGTCTTATTCATGCATTGGAATTATTAATTCTACAGTTTCTATATGTAACTTCTCTCACACACACGCGGATGGCCAAGAGTGGACCTTTGACAAAGTTAAAGGCACAATGTTAGTCAATGAAAATAAAAAGGATGATTAAACAAATTATCAACGTGAAAAATGTCATATTATTGCATCCCATCATATGAAGCATGCGAATCTCCAGATTTTAGACATGAGCATCCTTTAATGTTTTATAACTTGTCCAAATTCCAGATAATCGAATTTTGTTGTTAGTTGTTCCTCAATCCTCAACAACTCAATTATGTTAAATTACGTAGTATTTTATATGTGTTTGTTAAAAATAGAATAAAACAAATCTTTATTAATATTATGAGTTTTTTATTTTAAAAATATAACTTCTTATTTATTTTCACGCGACTTCTGTTTCCCAGCATAGAATCAAAATGTCATATTCCATCCAGCGCAGGACACTGGTCATTGTATATCCCGTATGCTGAGAAAATAAAACCCCCCCCCCCAAAATTTAATTAAAAAATGATATTTATATATATGAGTCTGTTTGGATTGACAGTAAAAAAAATAACTTATTTTCAATTTGATTTTTAAAAAACATGAAATTGAGTAAAAGATAAATTAGATAACATGATTTGTGTTTGAATTGACTTTTATAAAAGTTAGTTTATAAAATAAAAAAATTGTTTAGATTATGCTTGAATAAGTAAGTTTAGCCTGTAGAATGACTAAAATAGGTATGACTTTTGTTAAATAATAAAAAATTATTAAAATTATGAATTTACAAAATATAATAATTTTAAATTATTATAATAGTAAAAAAGTTATATTTAATGAAAATAATGTATTTAAATTATAAATCACAGTAATGTGAAAATTTTTAAACCAAATAATATTACATAATTAATTAGATCACATACTCTGCATAATTTATGTAAATATAAAATAAAAAATATTATAAAAATTATTTTTACTTAAGAGAATGTTAAAAATAAATAACTAAAAACTGATTGAGAAGCACAAAATATATACAGTGAGAAGCATAAGAACAACATAAATATAAATGTAAAAATATTTTTTAATTCTAAAAAGCTATTTTTACATAAATTATAAGTAAGTTTTATGTGCTTTTGTAATCATATTTAAAAAAATAGCTTTTAATCCATAAGTTATATTTATTAAAAGTTATAACAAACAGCTTTTAAATTTATAAATTAACTTATCGCACCTATAAAATATGTTTTCTTCTCCAAAACACCTTACCAAACAAGCAATCTATCTTTTTCTTTCTTTTTTTCTCTTAAACCCCACTTATTATCTAGAATTTGAATGAATTCAATTAAACACCCATCATTTGATCAATATATGGGTAAAAAAACACTTTTTAAAATTACAGAATGAATTAAATATGAGTATTGCTTGTTTTGGTGCATTGAAAGTGAGTTGTCCAAGGAAGTCACTCCCGTCAAAATGGGCAAATAGACTTCCATTGTCCGGGCCAAGTTACGGGAGATTCATGGAAGTGAAATATCTGTACTATTATGCCCTCAAACCATCTAATATACTGACAACTTCGCCCCTGATCCATTTTTCACAGTAGCCACGATACCATTTTCCTTTGACCCAACATGATAGCAACGAAATGGAAGAGGCAATGGTGTTTGACGGTTGCAAGCAAAGAAATTAAGAAATCTTTGGGTTTGATTTCTAGTTTTTCTTATTGATGGTTCTGAGTTTTGGTCTGTAATCTTTAGGCTTCTCATGATGTCATATTTAAAAACGGTGAATGAGACATTTGAGTTTTGGTCTGTGATCTTTGAGCAACCGAAGTTTGATTTTAGTCTGTTTATAGTTTTAAATCGTGACCTTTTATCCCTATAATTTATTACCATCCAAACCATTATAATTTCATAGGGACAAATACATTTGAAATAACCTTCTAAACAAACAAAAATCATAAAAAATTATAAGGATGGTAAAAATAGTTGTGGCCAATGGGGAATTAGTTAACTTTTTTCTTTTAATTGTTATGTAAAAATTATATATTATTTTTCTTAAAATACCCCTCTTTCAATGGAGGTACTAAACATGGAGCTAAAGAGGATGAGGAGAAAAATAACGAAAGTAATGTGAAAAGAAAATTAAGTGAGAGAGAAAAACGAATCAAGATTATGACACTAATTTTTTTAATCCATTGATATTATATTTGTCCATTATCTTGGCTTAAGATTCATCACATCTCCATCATATTTATAATCGAGTTCTTTTATTCTTTTTTTGACCAGCATAGTTAAGTTTCATGAGTTATTATTTATTAGCCAATTTAATATCTTAATTTCTTAGAGAAAGTTTATTTCTCGCAGAGAAAATTTCTGGCTCGTTGTCCATAGGTTTTTATCTGTCACATTCACACGTTAAATTGTATGTCATCTTCTAGTGTATTTGTTTTCTCATTTTATTTGTCGATAATGTTCAATTATTTAATCTTTTTTTATATCTTTTACTTTCGCAACCCTGAAATGTCTTGTTTAACCAAACAACACTAAGCATCTTTCTTAAAGATAATCGGTTTGAACCATTTCTATAAAATAATGAACGTGTGAGTTATAAAATTACTCGCAAAGTTGAACGATGTGCATCGTAGCTTGGTAGGCTGACACTATATATGGCAAGTCTTCTATAAGTTCTGGTTAATTAGCACTGAAGTCCTACGAATATATCGTTAATTATAACATTTGACCGCTCAAAATGCAAAGAAGCAACTAATAACAAATTAATTATTTGAGAAATCTATCCTTTTATTCGTCAATATATAAATAGTTTGAATTAATTTTAATATATTGACCTACCAAATCATTCAGAAGTTGGTAGTGCGCTTAAAAAACAAGATGGGATTTGTTTGACAATGTAAAACACCAAATCCAAAAAAAAAAAGAATAATAATAATTTTGGGCAATTTAAACTCATAATCGGAGTTCAATTATTTCTATAAATACAGAAACCTTTAAAAGCTAATTATATCAATTAATATATCTATTTAAAATTTAAAATTTATAAAAAAAATTACTCATATGGTTCGCAACATAAATCTGGCTTAACCACTCCACATCTGCCAAAAATATTAGTTAAAAGGTAGTTATGACATTAGATATTTGGAAAACTTTTCATAGCTTTCTAAACATGCCATTGACAAAAGTCAACACCGCATTAATCATAATAACTTAATTAATTACTTATAAATTTAACTATGTAGGAGGGCAAAATAAAAAAATAAATATTAAATGCTCCAAATATTATTAAATTAGACATATATTTTGAACCAAACCAATCTAGGAGAAAGGAATTTACATCTTCTATCAGTTATCAAATCTAGCCCGCTATCTGTCCCCCCCCCCCTTCCCCCCAAGATATGTCAAAATAGATATACTATCTCTTGTCCTGAATATAAAAATTAATTGTTAATTTTAATAAATTAAAAAAACTAATTAAATTAGTTATTTGTAATAAATATGTGTTTTTTTTCTAAAACATCCTTACTAATCAAGTGTATTGACTAGAACTATTATTATTACAAGGATTACATTGGGAAAAATAAATAAATATGAGAGACAAAGTGGATTGAGATCTTATATTTAGGATCAAAATAAAAGTTAAATAAGTTCTTATACTCCTCTGGTCTTTAATATAAGACCCATTTAACTAATTTGATTAGATTAAGGAAGTTAGGTAAGTTAGTTAATTATAAGAAATGTGACACATTTTTCCTAAAATACCATAATCATCTTTTTTAATACCCCATCTTCCTCTTCTACTTGATTATGGTTGAGGGAGTATCTATAAGGGTAATTTAGAGATAATTGATAAATATGAGAAATGAGTCTTATATTTAGGACCAAAACCAACTCAAGAATTGGGTCCTATATTAAGGACCGGAGGAGTATTAAGAATTAAAAGTAGTATTAAAGGAGCATCATTGTTAATATATTAATACTATTTAATTACACGCACATATGGTGTACTTTATTGTGATATAGAAATAAAAATCAAAATACGCCGAGTGAAGTGAAGATTAATTGATTGTACTCGAATATCGTTTGACTTCTTTTTTTGTTTGACTTAATTTAACTAATTTGAATTGAAGAATCAAATTTAATCAATTAAAGTTTTGAATTCTCCACGATAAAGGTCAGAGAGAGAGAGAGATGGGGGCAGAGAGAGTAATGGAAAAGGGGTCTGGGACTAGGTGAAGTGCTTTTTAAAATACTTTTCTGTAAATTAAAATAAATCCCTCTACATATTTATTTCGTATATCATAAAATTATTTTTGAAATCATGATTTAATTTCTATTTAAATACTTTCTAAATTTAAAATAAGGGGCGGGAGTGGGTTCAGCCAAAAATCTAAAGTACAAAGGGACATTGATGGAGGGAAGGAACGGAGCACATAGAATTAAATACGAACAAATAAATTAATAAAAGCGAAGAGTTAATCAAACTGGGTTTAAAGCATAAACATATAAAATAAATGGTGTCATCGGCAAAGGGCATCATTTTCCAAGTGTAAAGCCAATTTGGGTTTGCTACTTTCCGCTGTTTTCGCTTAAAGACACAAGGAGAAGCTTATAAAAGCAGCCTATCGGCTTCACGCTTCCATTAGGTCCGATTTCATTGAAGCCACTCTCCTTCCTCTTTTCCCCATTTTATTACTCCACAAAATCAAAACCCCTTTTCACTCTCTTTTTCTTTTCCCTCATTGAAAACTGCAGTATCCCAGTTTTTATTTTTGCTTAGAACAGAGGGATACCAGAACATATATACATAGAATACACCACAGCATCAGACAAGCCTATCTCCATGTCTGATTCCCCCCTCACTCTCTGTTCTTTTATATCCCTCCTCCTTCCCCTTCTTCTCATCTTCATCCTCTTCAGAAGAAAACAGCCCAGGCCTAATCTCCCCCCTGGAAGAATGGGTTGGCCCTTTCTTGGCGAAACCATTGGCTATTTGAAGCCTTATTCTGCTACTACTGTTGGAGAGTACATGGAGCAGCACATAGCAAGGTACGAAATTTTGCTCTTTACATATCTTTACAACTTCGCGCAGCTCATGAACTTGCCTCGTGTTTTCAGGTACGGTAAGATTTACAAGTCCAAGTTGTTTGGGGAACCGGCTATAGTGTCAGCCGATGCAGGCCTGAACAGGTTCATATTGCAGAACGAAGGGAAATTGTTCGAATGTAGCTATCCCAGAAGCATTGGAGGAATCCTGGGAAAATGGTCTATGTTGGTGTTAGTGGGTGACATGCATAGAGACATGAGGGTCATATCTCTTAACTTTCTCAGCCATGCGAGGCTACGAACACATCTGTTGAAAGAGGTTGAAAAGCATACCCTGCTTGTTCTTAGCTCATGGACGGAAAATTCTACGTTCTCTGCTCAAGATGAAGCCAAGAAGGTAAAGTCCCCCCCCTTTTCGGTTGAGTCCAGTGATTTGAAGTGAAACGAGGGGGCTTGAAAACTGAGAGCGTGTTTCGTTTGAATTGCAGTTCACCTTCAATTTGATGGCGAGCCATATTATGAGTTTGGATCCTGGGAATCTTGAAACAGAGCAATTGAAGAAAGAGTACGTGACATTCATGAAGGGGGTGGTTTCAGCTCCTTTGAATTTTCCTGGAACTGCTTACAGGAGGGCCTTAAAGGTGAGAGAATATAATATTCATGCCTGAAATCTTAGAGCAGACCTCAGCTGGACTAATTGATTAATATTTGTTTCAGTCTCGGTCCACCATACTGAATTTCATAGAGGGGAAAATGGAAGAAAGATTGAAGAGAATGAAGGAGGGGAATGAAAGTCTGGAGGAAGATGATCTTCTGAACTGGGTTCTGAAGCATTCGAATCTCTCAACAGAGCAGATTCTCGACTTGATTCTGAGCTTGCTCTTCGCTGGGCATGAAACTTCATCCGTAGCTATAGCTTTAGCTATTTACTTCTTACCCGGCTGTCCTCGAGCTATCCAGCAACTAAGGGTAAGCAAGTACGACGATATTGATGGCACAAAAACTATGTAGTTACGGAACTTCAAAAGTCTTTTTTTCACACGTACGAGCTCTTTATTGTTATCCTGGAAAATTATAGGAAGAACACACGAAAATAGCGAAAGCGAAGAAGGAAGCCGGGGAAACGGAACTGACTTGGGAAGACTACAAAAGTATGGAATTTACTCATTGTGTAAGTTCTCTCTCTTCTTTTCGTTTTTTCTTTACTTTTCTACTGCTTAGAAGTCAGAAGCAGTCATTAGTTAGTCAAAAATATTAGTTCGTAGTTAGTAAATTGCTCCCTTGATTGTGAAGGTTGTGAACGAGACACTTCGGCTGGGAAACGTCGTGAGGTTCCTTCACAGGAAGGCTCTCAAGGATGTTAGGTACAAAGGTAGGAGGAAGGATATTTCAATTCGTTCGTCTGTTTGTCTTTTTTTTTTTTTTTTTGGTGAGGTTATTCAATTGAGTTTTTCCTCTCTTTTTTTTTTGGGTGAAGAAATTAAAATGTTTAATACTAGTTTTGTGTGTGTTTTTATTGAAAGGTTATGACATTCCATGTGGGTGGAAAGTCTTGCCTGTGATTGCAGCCGTGCATCTGGATCCTTCACTTTTTGACCAACCTCAACACTTCAATCCATGGAGATGGCAGGTCACTTCCTTCTCTCTGCTTATAGCTCTAGACAGCACGCCTTCTCTATAATTATTGTCCCTTTCTCTAAAGCCGTGGCTTTTTTTTGTTTATTTTGCCCAAAGAAAAATCATGGGAATAAAAAGAATGAGAAAGTAGAGGTCCCCAAGCACTTCAATTCGTTCTTCCCGGTGGTTCCCCACACCAAATCACTCCCCCTTCATTCCCTGCCTTTTAACCAGAGACTTGAATAGGTAGAACTGAGGACGTTGGGTTTTTGCCAAAAAAGTGGTCCTAGTCTTCTCCTCTAGTTACTTTATCTTCCATTCTTCTGCCTTTCTAGAACACGACACGATTTTTATTAGGTACGGCGTTTCGTTTCATACCCTCTCTCGTAGGTACACACGTTGTACGGCGTTGAGAAAACCATACGAGTTACTAACGCTTGTTGGCCCCTAAATCCCAGTTCGAGAATTTACCTTTCAAAACCTATGGTGGTCACTGAACCAAAGGGCATGATCAAATCATTAATGCTTCTCGCTGCGGAATGGCCAGGGAATGATTAGGGCTATTCTTTTGCTTTGAAGCATATACATTAATCAAGTAGATCATGTAGATATAAGCAACACCATCCATTTGGATGCGGGACTCGTGGGGTCCAGGGCCATCTTCATCGAAGCCGTTAGGGTAAGTGTATCACAAATAGGAAGGCGATAAGGGGTAGATTACAAGTTACAAGAAACAACACAGCGAGAGAGAGAAAGAGGGGGGGGGTTGTCGATCATGGATCGATGGTGAGATTAACGTTGGGGGGAGATATCTTTGAGATGAACTGTCATGATCATGGAGGAAGAAGTTTGATGTGAAAGAGGAAGAAGGATATTGGGGTCTATGTGGGACCCAATGGATACCCTGCGAGGAAGAAGATGATGATGATCAATGATCATGGCTCTTTTTGTGAACGTGTGGGCAAGGGCCACGGGAGGTTCAGATGATCATTAATGCCCATGTGGAAGTGGGGTTCTCACGTGCACGTGCATTTGTGCCTTTTCTCTTTTTCCTCTCTGCCCTGGTCCTCACCCCCTCTAATTTATTACTAACTTTTCTTTTAACTATTACCCTAAATGAAATACGATTCAAAGTTAAGAATCCAGAAAGTCATGTAGCTATAAGTCTAGCTAGTGGCGAGCGAGCAGGGGCCCAAGACGGTACGTCAATTCATATCAAATAACAACATGAAAGCGACCCGGGCGACCACCAGAAGAAAACCAAATCTATCATCCCTCTTCTGCCTCAGATCGTGGGATATGGCCTTTGTCTTGTTTACTGCATTAGAGAAGCATCTGATTTCATATATAGGTGCATCAGAATAGACAGGTCGTCCTTACATAATTATTGATTCGATTTGCTTGCAGAACAACAATAACAGCAACAATAATGGAAGTGGCCGTGGAGGTTCTTGCCCAAGTGGAAGCAACAGTAAAGCTAGTCACAACTTCATGCCGTTCGGTGGAGGACCAAGGCTGTGTGCAGGATCGGAGCTGGCTAAACTGGAAATGGCAGTGTTCGTTCACCATCTCGTCCTCAACTTTCAATGGCATTTGGCTGATGAGACCGATCAAGCTTATGCCTACCCTTTTGTCGATTTTCCTAAAGGCCTGCCCATCACAGTCCAACGTCACTCTTTGATTTGATCCTTTTATAAAGCTATACAGTTGCAGCCAGATCAGAGGAATTAGGGGAAAGATATATAATGATTGTTATTATTAGGTGTCTCTTATCCATCAAGTTCTTTAATAAAAACGCGACATGCGAATAAATTTTTGTTGAAAGAATTACACCACCTTTACATGTCATGTTTTTGTTAAAAGAACTTAGTGACAAATTCTTCCTCCGTCTCTTGTTGGATTTTGCCGCAGTACATATATATCAGAGACAAACCCAACGGGGCTCGTGATCGATGATTCATACATAATTAACGTACACATTCCAAGTCCTTTTGACTTTTCGCGGAAACAAATAAATGGGAAGACATAAAGGAGACGAAGTAGGACCACTTTTACTTATTCCTCCAGCTCTACATTTTCTTCTTCCTTCACAATTTCTACTCCCTCCTACCCCACCATGCACCTACAATGTTGTACATTTCATGTATTCCTTCCAAAAGACAGGACATTTGCGAATAATATTAACTCATTTATGTGTGATCGATCATGGTATTTGGTTTGATCTCCGTCTTCGCACTGTAATCCACTGATCTCCTTTCTGCATATACATATTATATATCCATTACGTTGCTTTGCTTTTTAGTTTAATTAACTTATGCTTCGAGCGAGAATAGATCTTGCTCCTCGCATCGCTGTCTGAGTTACGGAAACACATGTATACCAGTCGACATAAATATTAATCTAAGAATTGTTTATCACATTATATGTATCCATACCTTCCAATTATATGTTACTGTGCACAGATTTAGACAGTTTTGTATGTATAGAAGAGGCAGAGATGCAAAAAGGCGAAGAATGAAATCATTGTATTGAAAGACTTTATATGGTGCAAGTTGGCGTGGGGATATATACTCTCATTCTATTCATGGTTCATTATTATTGGATGCTAGAAAACTAATATAATATGTGTGTGAGTGCGTATTTAATTTCACGATAGAATGTAGCTTTTTTACTTTATTTATTTTGGGGTGAGACTAATGATGCCTGTCTCAGGCACAAGTTGCAAATCATTTTGACTTCTTAATAATATGAGTAATTAAAGTAGATACAGCGAAGGATGATTCACCAATGCCCCGCCTCTAAGAATCTTTCAGTAATTCCTAAGCATTCGGAATGTTGGGCCTCCTACTCGAATTTTTCTGGTATATATAATTATCAAGAGCATATCTAATTCTAATTTTATTGAGTTAGACTTGGAATATTCAATAGGAATATTCAAATTAAATAGGAATATTCAATCTAATCAAATTTTCTGTTATCCATAATAACACAACATTTGAATCCACAGCCTTACTTTTAAAGGACATTATTAGCTTCCTCGCACTTAATCCAACCAATGTCTGGTGTCTCTTTTGATGAAATCTTGTATGAACATCTCTCTTTTCAGAAAGTTTACCACTACCAAGTTTTATATTTAAATAGAATTAGATTTTACACACTACTTCCTTAGTTCTTTTAATAAAAGAATTCTTGACGGTATACTTGAATATGTGTGCGTGAGTCAGAGAATCATAATAATGAAAAAATATTACTAGCATGAACAGAAAATTTCAGAATTAATAAAACTTCCCTGAGCACTTGAATAAAAACATATTTCGATGTAACGCAGCAGTGATCAAAATGTCTGTGCCCGCCTCCACTATAAAAAAAAAAAAAATTGTCTGTGTCCACTAGATTTAAACTGATAGCTAGGTATATCTTACATAAACGAGAAAGATGCGTGTGTTTTAAAACGTCGGGTTTTTTCTTCTTTTTTAATAAAGAAATTAAAATTCAAACCTCGTATTTCTAATTTTGACGACGGGATATGAAGACCACATGCATCGAATAAAGTTTCAAATGAAGGGGACAAATATTGTACTACCTATCTGTAGCTAAACCAGATTTTAGTTCCTTGTGATGAATGCAGAAGGAGAAAAATATTACAGGATCACAAGACATAATTATGATATATTATTACAGAATCAAGAACAATGGCGGATAATGAAGATAGATTCAATGACAAGAATGAATTGATGGCTGTCTCCTTGTCAGCAACTGGTTAGGTTAACTTTCGTTGTCGGATGCAATTATATGATGTTTGAGTTGCTTCATATATATATAATGATGCAGCTTCATCTGTGGTCTTTGGAGATGCACGTTATGGATTTCAAACTTGAAGTGCCTATTCTTCTAAAACGGATAAATATTGAAGTTATGTGTCACTCATCAATTTACAATTCGAGCTCAATTCTCGCTACCTTCCAAGTGCCAAATCCACAAATTTGCCTGTTTATTTTGGAGCTTTCATTTTCCAAAATGTCGCCCTGGAACTCATAATTCTAATGTTACGTCCACAGGGCAGAAATTCTTTTTTTTTTTTCCTTCCCAAATCTCACGACAAAAATAATTGACTTCGAAGATCTCTAATATTGGCTTGAGGATTGAAGATTCAGGCACAAGATATTTTTCTCACTCGAATACTCCAGTTAAACGGTTGGTTACTAAAGTTCTATTCATTTTTTTTTTACTTTAGTTTATATAATTCTATGTATGTATTCTTATAAAATTCTAACTTATTCAGAGCCATTAAAATTTCAACAATATAGTGGCCAAATAAATACTTTCATCGGTACATGCCGTTTTAGACTTATTTTTTTTAAGTATTTAACCAATTGAAGTATGGAGACAAATTTTTCATAGATATAATAATTAGATATTGACCAAAAAAATAAATAATTTTATTTAAAAATTTATATCAAGCCCTTCCATGATATCAATTTAAATGTTTACGACCGAAGGGAGGCCCGGCCCAATATAGAATCATTCGAAATGCAATGTGGATGTGGTTTGGAATAACATTTCCATTGGATTTACGAACAAGAATGATCGGTTTGTAGGCAGTAAAAGCCTTTTGGTATGGCACGGGGGCTCAGTTTTTGCAGAACTCAAAAAAGAATTTTAAGAAGTCCGTTTACTATGAGGTATGAGGTAAATGGAGGGAATCGACAGGATGAAAAAATGTTAATGAATTTGACTTAAAAAATTAGAGAAGTGGAGTTAAAAGCTTTTAATTAATTTTTTTTACTCTTTTATTTCATATCATTTTATCAAAATTTTATAATCACTCTGTTTTAATTTTTTAAAATCAAACTCATTAGAGTTTTCCATCTCCTTCTCTCCGCTTCATTTCTTTCATACCAAATATACGTAGGATAAGAATCAAGAAATTTCTTGAGTTAGTTGTTCAGAATAGGGTCACCTGAAGTGACATGCTTTGTGTTGCCTGACTTCGTAATCCAATACTCATTAGATCCCCATAAGATATCAAAGGACAAAGCACCATTCTGAGACACATAAAGCATTCAATTGAGATCTATAATAGATGCTGCGAATCATTTTATTTGAAATGATGATTGAAGCCTTTAAAAACATATTTTTAATAATAATTTATATAACACGAGGTAAGTATATAAAAAAAATTTATTTCAATTTGCTTGAAAGTGTTTACAATCACTAGTGTAAGATGTAGAATGTTCAATGGCTGATATTTTTTAGGAGGTATTTTTTCAATAGCTCATATTTGAACAAAAGCTACCTGTGAACTGGAAATTTGATAAATTCATCCCCAACTTCTTAATTATACGTAGCACAGGACTTTGGTGGTGTTTTGATAAGGGAGCCGTGTAATACTAATTATGCATGCGTGTTAGGTGAGACATGTCACTCGAGCTTCTCTCCCAAATAAAATTCCTCTTCAAGATTCTGATGATTTCTGTTCTTTGAGCAAGCATACGAGACAATGCGCCAGAACAGAACAAGAAAAGAAAAGGGAGATAACGAATTACTGGCCCTTGTGGCGCAAAATAACACGCCAGACCGGAGGGAGTATATTTTGCAGGGTTTTGTATTTTCAAGTAGTTTGTTGAAATTTTTAATTACGGTGGAATATAATTGACTCGGTTCTAAACTTTAGGATCGCAGCGCTTGAATCGGACACTGTTGATGAGATCTTGGTCTTCCTATCTTCAGACTAGTGGCTGACGTATAGGACTCTGCCTCTCTCTATATACATTGGAGACAGAAAAATAGAAGTTTCCTTCAACCAAGAGGCACGATCGAGTAACATAATTCACCTGGGTTTGGACGAATCATGGCTCAGAACCAGAGACAGAGGCCTGGGTTAGTTCACTTTCCAACATTCAAACACACGCACGCCTTGTTTAAAAGAATGTCTGAGATCAAATGATAATGTGTGTGAAGGGACGCGATGTCACAATCGTACGGGGAAGGCTATGCTATGAGGTGTGACGATGAAGGATTTGGTGGCACTTACAGCGGAAACCAAATGTTTTCTTCCAACCTTCAGAAGGATCAACCTCCTCACGACAATCACCCAGGTTCGCTTCATTGCCAACATCCTTGAATTATTATTAACCCCTTCATCTGACAGTGCACTAACAACTTTTGTTTCGATGGGATTTGAGATGATAAAAGCATATGACAAGACGCAGGGCAGTGAGGTGAAAGCGAAAGAAAACTCGAGAAACCAGACCAACACCAACACCAGCACCTAGATTGGTTCTTCTTCGCATCAAGGGATTTGCCGATTTAAATTTTATAGCACCGTTTTAATTTCTACCATAGTTGGTGGATTTTCATGCATATGGTTATTTTTGTTTTTATTTCTCAGTTAACGGTTGTCAAATATTTATGCCTTGTTTAAATTTTAAGCATGGTTTTTACTGTCAAATGAGGAGTTGTTTATTTGATGATTGCATATGACGTGAAGAAAAACTGCATGCAGAGTTTATTTTATCTTCTTTGTTCATAGCAAAGCTGCAGCGAAATCCATTACAGAGAACAAAGTACACCCAGATTTCTCCCCTTAGATCATCATTTTAAATCCACAGAAATGCCAAACATTTTTAATTAAAGAACCTCATAATTTTTTAAAATATAATTCCAATATAAAAAATTAACCTCAAAAGAATTTTAACAGCGGGTTCTTTCAATGCAGCGGAGGATTGAAGAGAGGACACATAAAGGGAAAGGGATGGAAGGTTTTTGTCTAATCAAATTTAGTTTTTGTTTTTCTTATTTCTGTCTTAGACTATTTGACGGCTATTTTCTAAGTAAATAGCACATCAAATATATTATTTTGATAAAGATAAATGAAGTAAGACGTGTTATCAAGTTTATTTGTACGGAGGACTTGGGAGGTTTAGAGAGTGAGCAAATAACATATAGGATAACTTTGAAATAATTTATCGTATTAGCTCTGTTTCCTAATCTAAGAGTTCGTTTGGCTTTTATTTTGATCCTAAATATAAGACTACAGTTTACTTTATTTATCATATTTATCTTCTTTTTTTTTCTTCTAAAACAGCCTTATAAAAAAGTAGTTCTGATCAAAACACTTGATTGACAAGAATATTTAAAAAAAAACAACACATAATTATTATGAATAATTAAATTAACAAACTTATTTAATCTACTCAAATTAGTCAACTAACTCTTATATTAAGGACCAGAAGTAGTATTGAACAAGAAAAGTTAAACACCATGCATTAAAGCAGTAACGGTTAATTAACGAGCAAAAGTTGTGCAGGGGAGGTAAAGCTCCCAGACTAAACATTAGTTGGATGCGTACATTTTTTCAAACCAAAAAGGTCACGTGTACTTTAATTATGTTGCAAAAAAATTGTGTTCGTCTTGGAAACGTCATTCACGATGCAAGTTACAAAGTCACAGATACAAACTAGGATGGTGATTCTGTCTTTTAGGCTAAGAAAAGAGGAGGCATGGGGCAAGAGCAACGATCCCAATTATATAGGCTTAGACCAAAGCCCAAGCTACAAAAACTTCAATTTGAATATAATTCTCACCGATAATCACCAACAAACTGCTGGTTTCAACCCAGTAAGGAGTAACGCTCTATAATTCGTGACTTAGTGGTAAGAACTGCATCCTCTTACCAAAAGAGGAGAGAGTTCGATTCTTTATGCTTGGAGAGGCATAATAGATTCGGGTTGTTTAGGTAAATACGCAAGAGCCTGAGAGTAATCCTTCATTCAGGTTGAGTTTGAACTGCTATGTGTTGGCTGAGAATGGATTCACTAAGCCTTTTTTTTTTTGCCTGAGAGAATGGATTCACTATCACAGCATCACCCTTTTTGGTATTAATAAATAATGAGCTTATATTTTATGAACTTTTTTTTTGACCTCGAATATATTTTATGACGTTTGATGCACTGCTAATGATAACAAGTCATGTTTGGGAAAATTTTCCTAATCCAAATAAATGGGGTGTTTCACTGCGATGTAATTTTAAATGGAGGGAGTATAATTTTCGAAACTGCGGGGAAAAGAGCCCCTCGAAAGCACAGTCGTGCTAACTCGCGTCCCGTGTCTCGTGCATGGTTCTTTCAAACTTCGATCCTTCCATGTTCCAAGATAAAATCAAAAAGCTGTGTGTTCATAAGCATTCGGCATCGTCAGCGACTATGCTTAGAGATTGAGTCGAGATTCCCCTTCCCCTCCTATTCCTTTGTCGTGATCCTACCAGCAGAATCATTCGGCAGCAATGACTGCGACTTGGATTTTTGTAGTTATATTAATGTTACAAAGGTCTCTGTCATGGACTTTCCTCTTCTTTGGCGACATTTCCTCTTCTTTGGCTCTATTTTCCACTATTAAATACCCAAAATGGATTTTCATCTTCAGTTGCATCAACTTCCATGGAGGCCAAGGTCGCTGATTCAAAAAGGTTCAACTTTTCCTGGTGCTGGTGGTTAGTGATACTCATAATCGGTATTCTCGTTTTTGCTGCCGGTTTATTCACTTTACTCAGCAAGCTTCATCGCTCTGGTTCTGCTCACCTCCCAACTCGTCCCACCAACGTCGTGCAAGACTACGCCACTGCTCTCGAATTGGCTCTGCAATTTTTTGACATTCAAAAATGTAATTTTCTTAGAATTCTGTATTGCTACTAATTCTCTCTCTTAACTGTTGAGATTTATTGCTTGTGCAGCGGGCAAGATACAGAATAATAGGATTTCGTGGAGGGGAGATTCAGGGCTACGGGATGGGAGCGAAGCGAATTTGGATTTATCCAAGGGGATGTATGATGCTGGAGATCTAATGAAATTTGGGTTTCCCATGGCTTTTACCGCTACGGTGTTGTCGTGGGCGATTCTCGAATACGCTGATCACTTGAATGCTGTGAAGCAACTAGAATATGCGCAGGACACACTTAAATGGATCACAGATTATCTTATCAATGCACATCCTTTCGCAGACGTGCTCTACATTCAGGTGAACCTTTTGTTTGAACTTTCGGCCTGCAGTTTCTCTGTCCTCCTTAATCAGGTCCCGGGTTTGTTATCAATGAGGATTCCACTTTTCCATGAAGAAATGAAGTTCAGAATTTTAAAATAGAAAAATTCTAGGTATTTCGAATAGAGAGAGTCGTCTAAGAGACCTGGACAATTAAACAGTGAAAGAATATTCGTTAAAGGAGGAATAAATTTCTTTCGTACTTATTTGTTGCTGTATTCTTGTGTTTTGTTGTCGTCCGAAAAATAAATCATTAGGCTCAGTAAGACAGAACTAACATCTAGTTTGTTTGGTTTTGTGGTTTTGTGTGATTGAAGGTCGGAGATCCTGAAGTGGACCACAATTGCTGGGAAAGACCTGAAACCATGACTGAGGGAAGGCCATTGACTCAAGTCAACACATCTTTTCCTGGAACAGATATTGCGGCAGAAACTGCTGCTGCCTTGGCTGCTGCATCTCTAGTATATAAGGGGATCAATCTCACGTATTCTGACATTCTCCTCAGTCATGCTCAACAACTGTTTACTTTTGCTGATACTTACAGAGGTTCCTACAGTGTCAGCATCCCGCAAGTGCAGAAATACTACAACTCTTCGGGATATGGTGATGAACTTTTGTGGGCAGGCAGCTGGCTCTATCATGCAACTAGAGAACCATCATACCTTAACTATGTGACTGAGCTGAATGAGAATGCGTTTGGTAATTTAGGAAGTCAATCCTGGTTTAGTTGGGATGATAAGCATGCTGCAACTCAGGTACTGAGTATGAAGTAGAGCTTTATTTCCCCCCAAGTTCTAATCATATGTTGTCTTTGTAATTTATTGTATATTTAATGCGGTTTAGTTCTTTCATGGTGTACAGTTTGGCAGACATATTTTCAAAATTCAAACTACTATAGATCTCATGTTCCTAAACGAGATGCACTCATTGAGCTGGATAAACGAGTTGATTTATTATTTTGTGATTTTGATCTAGGTTCTTTTGTCCAGGATCAATTTCTTTGGCATAAGAGGCATTCCAAATGCAGAGAATCTTGACCTCCAAATGTACAGAGAAACTGCAGAAATCTTTATGTGCGGGCTTCTGCCTGATTCACCAACATCGACCACTAGTAGAACTAGCAGTACGGTTCATTTCTTCATTGCAGCATTTTTAGAAAGGATACCTCCCCTATTTCTATGCATGATGGCTGATGCATTGGTATTATCTCATGATTGTTGTTGTTCACGAATATTTGACCTTTGTCCTGAGCTAAGTCAACTCGACTCTGATTGTGTTTAATCAGATTAACAAGATCCCAAAATGTATAGTTTAATTTTGGGTCTATCTTTTTCTTTTTTTCTTTTTCTTTTTTTCTTTTTTGCCATTGTTTAACTTTAGGTCTATTGTGCTACAGATTTTGCTTTAGTTGTAATATTTACATATTCTTTTTGCGATATTTGTATTTATTTAGTTGACTCTAGGATGGATAGAATCTTGGGATGACAAAGGCATGTGATTATTCTGCATTTGTTGCCTTGCTTGTATAAATATTAATATTGTACAAGGCCTCCTAATGTGAACATTAGAAACTATTTTCCTTACTCCTTTTGTCATCTACTTTATTGGAAATACTAGCTTCTTCTCATCTATCTGTCTAAACCTATCTTTTCGATGCAGATGGACTGATATGGGTGGTGCCATGGAACTCTTTGCAGCATTCTGTGGCTTCTGCTTTCCTAGCTGTTCTTTACAGTGATTACATGGTAACATCCAACACAGAAACTCTATTTTGTAGTGGAAAGCTGTATAAGCCAAAAGATCTTCGCAGTTTTGCCATTTCTCAGGTATGCTAGTTGCTTTAAATTTGATGGTATTATCTTGCATCCTGATAGAGACCTCAACTTTAATAAGCCTATAACAAGCAGAATCTAGAAATGAGAACATGTGGAAAAGGCCTTACCTCTCTATGGCATAAGTCAATTGGCTTGTTCTCTATTCGTCAACGGAAATTCTCAAACTCCTACCTCATAGGGCTTGGACTGGAATCATTAAAGAAACCAGTCTATAACTCTATATTCACAGCGGAGGCACCTCAACACAGGATCGCTTGTTAATAAAGTAAAGAGAGAATGTGAGCCAAGGGTAAATGAGAGGACAAGAAACTAATATCTTGTCAATAAATAGTTATACAATCACAAGTAATGCGTTTTCTTTTTCAAAAAAAAAAATTCAATTTATATTGAATTTTAAACTAAAAACAAATTAAATTTAAATATCAATAAATTCAATTACACAAGTAATGCGTTTTTTTCCCCAAAAAAATTCATCTTAAAACTTAATTGCACACACTTGACCTAGAGGGAACGATAAGGGTCGTGAGGGCTTCATGTGAGAGAATGGAACAAGATATTGGAGCATGTTGCTTGTGTGGTGGCTAGGATAAAAAATTGGGGGTCAGTTGACAGGCGAGAATTACAATTATAATTATCAGAGTAAAATGAAAAGGAGAAACAAGGCAGGAGGGAAGGAAATTGAAGAACACAAAGGAGTGGAAGGTAAAGAAGTAAAGATTATTCTTGCCCTTGCTGGCCCCAAAAAAAAAAAATTCTTGTTCTTAGACAGATTACTGAAGAAAATTATCACCGTTGCCAGGTTAACTTCCACCTCAACAGTCACGCATAAACAAATTTAACACGTGGCCGATAATCCCAGTTACAAGTTCTTATGAAATACAGGGACCAACATTTCAGATGGGCTAGGGATGAGAAACCATAATTTCGAACTATAAGGGTTGAAACCAAAACGCGATCAAACCATAAAGATTAACAGTTGTATTAACTCAGAATTATGTCACTCCTATTTACTACTATATTACAAGAATTTGAGCTTTTTTGCCCTAAACCCAAACATGGCTTTCTGGGATGAAAAATTAAATGTCACATGACAGATAGTCCCAGACGGTTTCCCTTATTTTTGTTAATTCTGAGTCGTTAAGATGACGGTCAAACAATTGCAGGCAGATTATGTGTTGGGCAAAAATCCATTGAAGATGAGCTACCTGGTTGGATATGGTAGTCGCTACCCTCAATACGTACATCACAGAGGATCTTCTATTCCAACAAATGCTACTACTGGGTGCAGGGATGGATTCAAGTGGTATGACTCACCTTATCGCAATCCAAATGTGGCTGTGGGAGCCCTCGTGGGTGGCCCCTTCTATAACGAGACATATAATGATTATCGGAACAACTCAATGCAGGGTGAACCCACCACTTACAATGCTGCACTTATGGTCGCCCTCCTCTCTGGTTTGGTTGCAACTTCCTCTGTTGCCACGTCTTTCTAGAATCAATATATCATCTCATCCTGTAATGGAATATGCAGGCACCCCTAGTCCAGTATCGCCTTGCTTCTTCTGCTGCCCCTCTTGTGAGTTTCACTTTACAATGTATCACCGCCTGCGTTTCGGAATGAACTGCATTACCTAAATATAACAGGTCTCGTTCTGTTCATAGTCTCTACCTTTCTGATCGTCTCAAACGAGCAAGTGATGTTACATGTTCTCTCGTCCTTGAATGGACCCAATACATTTACTTCCCTTTGCTCTTATACGTGGCCTCGACCATAACTCAGGCCGAAAACAGACTTTGGACCATAGCAAAATTTTGAATTGGATTTTGATCTGCACCCTCTTAGATAGGCCCAGACCAAAGCCCAAGATGCCAAAACCATATTCAATTTGATTGAAGTTTTTTTTATACTTTTTTTAATGAATAGAATCACTGATTTTTGGTCAAAAATAGAATCAGCGTTACAGCTTGAAACCTTTTAAATGACGTTTGGGGTTATTATAATTGGATTTTACTGCGATATAATTTTAAAGGGAGGGAGTGAATGACTACAAACTAATTCATCAACCCAAAAAAATTAGAATGAATTAAATTCTCTAGATATATTAAAGATGTAAGTTTCTTTCTGAAAGAAATTAGTACTTTAGCAGTTTGTATATATTTAATAACAAATAATTCTCCATCGCATTTAATATGGAAAAGAAGTGTTTTTAATTAATGTATTAAAATAATTTGTATTTATTATATGCGCGCATTGAACTAAAAATTACTTTCAAAATTTTCTTACAAGAAACGTGAGAAAGTAATCTTCCTCCATTTTTTAGTGAAACGTGGATGGGAAAGGAGCCCCTGGAAGTATCAAAAAGCTGTCTGTTGATAAGCATTCGCGTCTTTTGGCCAAAAAAAAAAAACGAAAAAGATAAGCATTCGCGTCAACGTCAGCGATGATGTTTAGGGAAAAAGAAGAGTCGAGAGGCGTGTTGGAAACGGTCAGATTCGTTGAGCGTAAAGCCAACGCAAAAGCGGCCTCCGCCTCGAAAACACCGCCTTCGCCCCGGCAAAAAAAAAATTCTATTATTAAAATTAAAAAAATTCGCTCATAAATCCCCAACGCTCAACCGACAGAATAGGAGAGGCAGCTGATATTACACGTCACTTAATCTCCACCGTTCAAGAAAGGCATCTTAGCCGTTCGTCTCTCACATCCTTTTTATAAATAACAGCCTAGGGTTATGCTTTTTCTTCTGTCTTTGTTCCGGGGTTCCTCGTCTCTTCGCGTCAGATCTTGATCTGAGATTTGGTTGTTGCCGACTCCGGGCTCCAGATCCGTATGGATCCGATCGAGGTCCACCCGCCGATGGTGGTTTGTGACGCGTAAGTGTTCTGCTCATAGTTTTTAACGATGAGGTTCATTTATCTGTTGCGTTTTTGATCTGATCTTGTTTTCTTGGGTCTTACGTTCTAGGTTTGAGATGCATACAAAACTTCTTGCCTCGAATCTTCCGTTTCGAGGTGTGGTCTCCTCGTTCTTGTTTTCGGCATCTATTCTGTAGAAATTAGCTGGATCTTGCCTTTGTCAAGGCTCTCGAGGTGTTAATTCTGCAGGTATGGTGGAAGATCGAACAAAATAACGTGGATCGCTGGAAGTCTAGTTTTCTTCGCCATCCGGATCACGAGGATTGCTTCAGTGATGGATGATTGGATGCGCTATAGCTGATTGCCCTTGAGGGTTTCAGTGCTGTCTTCCTGTAGATTCTACTGTTGCAGATCTCGGATATTTGTAAATCTAGTTATTGCTCTGAGGGTATGCATGGATGTATAAGATTTCGGGATGAAGGGCCCCGAGACGGTGGGCTCTGAGTCCCGAGTAATCTTTGTCATCCGACCTTTGCCATGACAGGTGCGCTTGCATGGCAGGTCAAGAATATCTTAATAAAAAAAGTATTTTTTGGTTTCGGGGGAGATCGCACGGGAGTTGCCCGGGGTCTCCCTCCGGTGTGGTGTGTGCCTCCGTTTTCATTCTGCGTTTATTATCGCTCATGATTGCTCGCCCGCTAAATCCATCTGGTCGCGAAGGACACACGACAGCAGATTTGCCTTGACTCTTCAAATCAAATAAGGTATCATCTATCGTTATAATCTCTTACATATCATTCAAAGGGTAATTTTTTCTTGTGAACAATCTATTTATTGAGCTAATATCATCCCAAAAAAGAAAAAGCATAAACAAAAGTGGCTCCCTCCAGCAAGAGTCGGTCCCGAGTCGGTCCCCTTTGAATTTTTAATACTGTCGTTAATTTACTCCGACCATGGTGATGGTGATATTAATTTGGATTATTGGAAATATTCTTATTGGCAGAATGCTTTCTGGAGTTCGTCGATAATATGATCGAAAGGTAATTGGGCTTCGGTTTTCTTACCTTAAAAAAAATTATTCAGATCAATTCTTCTAAATTTTGATGGTCAAAATTTTACCGGGAAGTCTTTTTCTAAATTCACAAATTCAGTAAATAATTGAACACTGAAACAGTATAGTTTTCAAAATGAATGAATGGTATTTTTCTGAATCCTGCTTTGCATTCTAAGCTGCTCCGTGTGCTTTGTGATGGTATCCCACGAATGATAAGTTACAATATCCATAACTCTCGGCAGTACTGATCCAATTTTGTCATGGCCTGCTGTACTGTTATCGATGATTGCTTTTTTTTTTTTTTTCCTTTTTTCGTTTCTCTCTTTTAGTTTGGAGGTTTTATTATGGTGAGAGGTTTTTAATATTCTGGAGATATAAGAGGGGCTTAAGTGTTGTGGTTTGTGAGAGAAATATTCCCTTTGTTGTTATCTAATCATTTCGGGGTGTTCCGTTATTGTCGAGTTTTTGCTTTTGCTACTGTAAATTGAATGATGTACTTGCCCGTTATTGGGGCCAGGAGGATCCCAGTGAAGAAGAGCAGGAATGTTAACGAGACTTTCTGGAGCCTCTAGTTGTATTGTTTTGTGTTGTAAAGTCCTGTTACCAAATGTGATTTAGGCTATTATGTTATGTCAGTGGTCGAGGTTCGTTAAGCTGTGTTGAGTTGTCCTTTGTATATTGGTAATTATAAATGTTCAGATTCTGTTGCTGTCTTTTGGAAATTTCATGTGGAACGTTTGGGGGGCGACGCTCTATGGACTCCTCCCCCCCCCCCCCCCCAAAAAAGGGGGGGGGGGTGGACCAGTGAAACATGGTTGATTGTACTGAGCCTTGGAAACCAGGGTGCGTGAACAATTTATCAGCGACTGGATGTTTGTTAACCCTTTTTGTGATTCCTTACTTCGTATGTTGATTTTCTAACTTGGTGACATTCTAACATGGAAGAATTTTCTAACTCTTACTTCGTATGTTGAAGTAACCTTTTGTTTCCCGGAAAACTTATCTTACTTCGTATGTTGAGGATATTATTATTGAAAATGGTGTTGATTGTTGTAGAGATATGTTTGGATGTATGGTTCTTTTTTTTAAGCTGATTGAGAGTGTGCTTGGATGAAATTATAAAGGGAGTGTTTGGTTCTTTGGCCAAACTATGGTTTGGCAAAAAATTTGCCAAACACCCCCCATTTTTTTTAAAACTAAGGTTTTGGGTAAAATCTTGGTTTTGCCCAACAAAATCTTGGTTCTAGATAAGCAGACGGGGCGTAGCTTCTGAGGAAGGACAATTATGAGGGGGGACAATTATTGGCTACGGAGGGAACAAGCACGTGGGGTACTCATTCAGCTCAAGGGGTACAATTATTTGGCAAAATAAATTATTTTTTTAAAATATATTTATTTATTTTATTAATATATACACACTAATTTCTTATTATTTATATTATTTATGCCATATTTATTATGTTGTCAAAATATATATTATTAATAAATTTATTACTTTAAATAAATATATATTATGAAATATATATATTATATATAATTATCATTTAAACTTATGTCCTTTTTAATAATTTCTACATATCAAACACTTCTGATAATAATTATTCAAATATTCTCATTTTATAATTATTTTTTCAGAAAATCTATTCTTTTAAAATCTATTCTCTCGAAAATTTATTTTCCAGAAGTTATTCTGTAAACTATGGTTTGTTTCATTCAAATATCTCCTAAATCATGTTTGGAAAAATGATTATGGAAAAGTGATTCTGGGAAGAATAGATTTTATGAGAAAATAATTTTGAGAAGTCAGAGTAGTTGTTATCACAAACACTTTTTATATATATAAATTATTAAAAAAAAATTATAAGTTAATATGATAATTATGAAATTATAAGTTAATATGATAATTATGAAAAAATAGATTTTATGATATATTTTGATTGGAATGAATAAAATTATTATAATATATTTTTCATTAACATAATTAATATATAAGATAATATAATTAATAAATAATTAAAATGTATATATATATTTATAAAATATAATATTAAATATGTTTATAAAAAAAATAACAAGATACATATCTTGGCTTTTACACTTTTTCTTTTTTTTGTAAAAGTAAATTTTTTTTTTTCAAAATCATGGTGTTGATTATTGAGTGTGATTTTTAAGTGGATGTTTGGATAATTTATTTCTCAAATAATGGTTTGGGTCTCCGTTTGAGGTGTCATCCGCTTGAATGGTAAGGTGGTGTTGGTCTGTTTCTCTCCCCTTGTGGTGGAAGTGAATTTGAAAATTTATGTACTTTGTATTTTGAAGGTAGAAGTGGGTATGCAATTTATTTCTTTACGACTCGGGTTGAAAAAATTGGAAGCGTGAAGCTGAATGTTTCAAGCTCAAGTATTTGCTTGGCGAGAAAAAACCTCCGCCGAAGTTCAGACAAGTGTGCTGGGATTATGTAGATGTTTGATCATACTACCATTATTAGAACGAAGTGAGTATAGACGTTGTGGGGGAGGGAAATTATTTTTGTCGCTCGTTGAAGCGGAGGGTATTCTAGGGAAGTGGAGGGGTTGCTTGTGAGCCGCGTCGTTGTTCCGTTGTGTTTTTTCCGTACCCTATGAGGCTTATGTGCGAAATTCTTAGATCTTGACAATTTAATTGATAATCTGTTGTGTGGTATTCTTTCGGTTTTAAATGTAAAATTTATTTTATTGTATGATTTATATTATAAAATGTAATTTACATTACAATTAATGAGCTTAATATTTAGGATGGGAGGAATATATCTTGGAGATGCATTTGATCCATGGGTAAATCTGTTTCTCATTTGCGATGTCAATTCTGCCCTGGCTGTCGTCAATACATTAGCTTGTTTGCTTTAGATTGAGCATAGATAACTCGTGTGATTCCGAAGATGGCCGCCTGGATGTATCCCTTCTTGGTTGGTGCCTTTGATTATGGAAAGGTGTCATGGATTCTGCCGAACCTTCTTTATGCCACCGATGTTGCGGAAACTGCGGATGTGCTGCAATTCTCGTACGATGTTTTCTGATCCTTTGGAGGCGTTAGTTCTTGTGTTGATTTGGTGTTGAATTCAGTTGTGAATATTGGTGTGTTTACAAGAGGAGTTTAATGTAACAACTTGATTATTGGTAATTGGGAGTGGAACTTGTTCCTTCTCTAGATATGTGTGTTGTAATATGATTCGAAGTTCTAATCGAATTATTTTTATTTAATGCTCTGATGGTGGATCGTTGACTGGAAGTGCGCCGATGTTAACAAAGCGTTACTTATTTGAATTACAGCACATGGTTTAGAGATGACACCAATTCTGAAGGATGAGAAATTTTAGACAAGCACAAGTATTCCTTGCTTCGGAATCTTTTAAAGCAATGCTTGCCGAAAACGCCAGCTGGGAAGCATCTATACTGAAGAATAAAGCCTAAAGAAGTTTGATTTTGTCATGGCAAATAATACCATGACAATAACGTTTTCGTTCTTTTGCATTTAAATGGCAGCCCATTCTATCATTTTTGTTCAAGTTCAGACGTGAGTGTTGACAAGGGGTGCCTTAAGTAGAGGAGCAAGGAGATCCAAAACAGCAGTGAACAAAAAATCGGTTCAGACCGGTCGGTTCAACTAGTGAACTAGTCCATTTCGGTTTGGATATTAAATTGGAAGGGAGTTGAATCGGTAGAGAACTGGTCAAAGCGAATAAAACGGTTTGAATGATTATGTCGTTATTAATCCTATTTTTTTCTCATGTAGCTCTTAATATATCAGTCTTTATAGATTTAAATAAATTTTAATGATAATTTTAGTATGAATGATTATTAATTTTAATTAATGATGAATCATAAGGATCAAAATTCTTAATATTGTTATATTTTGTTATTGTTACAATCAAATTATTGTCATATTTTTTTATATTTTGTTATTAGTAATTATTAATATTGTTATATTTTTTTTATTTTTTATTAAATTATATTATTTCAATATGACCGGTTGGATCCTGAGTTGACTCCGGTCCGATTAACTAACCCTTGAATCACTACCTCAATAGGTTTAATGTCAGGTCTGATTTTTTGTTCCTTGCAAAACAATCAAAAGCAAAAGCAAAACCTGAGAAGAAGCACTAATCTTGATTTGGAAAAAAGAGAAAACAGCAAAGAGGTGGATCTCTTTTTCCGCTATGAAGTATTTTGTTTCTTTTGTTCTAGATGGTATCCTGAATTTCTTCAAAAACAGAAAGAAAGAAAAGGATTTTAATAGAAAGAGGGCCAAGATTATAAACAGATGATAGAAAGATTCTTTCAAGTCACAATCAGAGATATATAGCCACGAAGTGTGGAGGTGATGGAGAGCAGAGCTTTTATGCAAGAGTTTCCAAATAAAAAAGTAGCTATTTATATGGCGGATTTATTTTCTAAAGGAGGTTCTAGACTTCTGCAGGCAAAACAATGTGTGAGGAAGTCAAGAAGTCTGATGCCCTGTTTGACCATGCAGGCCCAGAGGAATAGATCCAACATTGGGGTTTAATAGATTCGGGCTTGGTAAGCCTAAAATACACTTGGCAGAGGGGAACTCTTTTTGGGGGATGGTCCGTCCTTTTTTTTTTTTGTTTTGAAATGATCCGTCTCGACAGAGCTATGAGCCTATGAGCAATAAAATACGGTTGTTAGATAAATCTAACACCTAAGTCATGCACCTACCTGAAATTCTAAGTGACTGCAGGCCCGTCCTTTTAAAACCTGATTGTCAGCCCCATTTTGTTTCCTTGCATCTTCTTTTCGCAGATGACTTGATCTGCTCCACCAAAAACTCCCCAGTAAATCTTGCTAGCAAGGTACTTGATTTCTGCTCTTCCTCTGGTCATGAAGCGAGTATAAAGAAAGCTGGCATCTATTTTCCCAAGAATGTTACTTATCAAGAAGATTATTTGGGCCACAATAAATTGGGCTATAGTTAACAGATCATTACGTCGTGGCAACAGTTCAGTTGAAGTTATAGGGGTGAAAGGTCAAATCCCTTTCTCTTGTAGGGCGAATAACCTTGTGCAGTCAGTGCTCTCAATAATACCTCACTATACTATACAATCGACTCGTCTTTCTACCGCAACTTGCAACAAGCTCCAAATGCTAATTAGAAAATCTATTTGGAAGGATACAGAAAACCAGAGAAGTATTCACCTGATGAAGTGGGATACTATATGACTTAAAAGACATTGAAGCTCAAAATGCTGCCTTTCTTATGAAGCTTGCTTATTCAATCGTAAGCCTATAAGACATGTTTTGGGTCAGGGTTATTCAAGCTAAATATGGCTGGAAAGAGGCAACGCACCCGCATATTAAAACGCAGAACAGATCCCGCCTTCGGAGAAGCTCAAAAACAATTTGGGATGAATTGGCTTTGGGCACCAAATGGAGCGTACTCACAAGGTTTTGGTCTGATCATTTGGTGGGTGATCTAGGACCGCCTAACTTGTTATCTTATACCCCTCTGTTTGATAACGAGTTGTAGAAAACTATCTCTGAATATGTGGAATTGTAGAAAACTATCTTATAGAAATGAGACTCTCCTTTCCACCCAAAAAAAAAAACAAAAAGGAGAAATAAATCCATGACGTAAGCCTCATGAGTTCATGAACTGTGAACATTGGATATACCTTGAAAGACAACTATTTTTGTTTGGTCGCCCTTAAAAAACGCTTTTAAATGGTAAGATGTTTTCAGGAAACAGGAATTGTCATGAAATTGTAGCAGGCTGAGCGTTTCAGATGTTTGAGATGCGAAATAATAGAGCTGGAGCTGAACTCAAATTAAGTGATATTTGCCAGCTTAGCGTTTATCTTTTTGTTTTGAGAAATAAAGTAAGGGTTTACTCCTCTGGTCCTATTTATAGGGCAGAGAGAGAAGGTTATTCTAGGTCCTATTTATAACTCATTTTATTAAAGTTTTAACGTGAATGTACTATTTTATCATTCATTTATTATAGTGTAAACGGTTATTTTTCTAAAGGTGCATATATTAAATAAGAATA